GTTGATAAGACCAATGCGAGGTCGAAACTGCAGTCCATCCAGGATGAGAACAACTTTCGGGAAAGCAAGGATATTTGAAGTTGAATGAAAACGTCAGCTCAACTCATATCATTGTAAGAAAATTCTACTACCAGTCCTTCATCACCTTAGATGAAATAGGGTGAATACATCTGATTACACTGATTTACTGGTAGTCTCGAAACTCTACTCAATTACGAATATAAATAACTTTATGCCTCATTAAAGAGGCCAGATATAGAATATATATAAAGCTTTGTAAGGATTTGTCGGTGAGTTTTCTTCATTCGTTAGCTTTAATTTGGTTGTGACGAGGATACCTTGCTCTGATGATGTTCGTCAAATGACGGACGAAAGCTTAGCACCTTTACACCGGAATCGAAAGAGATTGCCTCGGAAACAGCCTCACCATGAATGTCCCAGTAAAGTCAATCGACAGCTGGTCAAGAGGTATCCGCCGTCGTCTTCTGGTGGAATTGACCTTCAAATCTCCTCACTGAACACTTTCACCCTAAATGGAAATAAGCTCAGTGATTATGGAACAAGCGTGTCCTCGAAGCACAACTTTTATTCACTTGAGTTTTAATTCAAGAGCTACTAATTATCTCTAAGCCTACTCACTACTATTATTAGTATTTAGCCATCTGATAAAAGCCATTAAAAAACTATAAGTTTCGGCCAATAGCCAGCAGGATATTCACAATTAGAAGACTGCAAGAATGTTGAATTGAATACCTTCAACATGTTACCACTGCACCACATTGCCACGGGAACTAATGAGTCACAAAGCAGACGAGGCCTTTAAGGAAAGTGCGTTTTTTTACATGTCAAATTTATGACAATTTCTTATTCTCCATGACTAAAATTCTTGTTCAAGATGCACTGAGACGTCGTCAGTTGTAGCAGCTAACTTCACGTTTATGTGAAGAAAAGCCAGGTTCCGAGGAATACCTTAATGATTTTTTGTGACACGATTTTTCATTTCTTAAGAAAAATTGGTCTAACTGGAAACCGAAGGATCATTGCCTTTTGATAGGCTTTGGGAGGGACAGGAAGAACGGCTGAACAAGAGAAGAAGGCATAGCTTGCTTCGAGTCGGCTGTGGACTCCCACACTTCACATAACTTGGACATTATATGCATTCAATCTAAAATAACGCATATCTAATTATGCCTAAACATATGGGATCATACGCTCGTTTGTTTAGACAAGGAAACGGCTATTGCCACATCCACTTCTTCTTTATGCCTCAGCCTCCCCTATCTGCATGAATGGATGTTAGACATGAAATAGCCAACCCAATCATGTAAGGCCTGGCTAGAATCACAAAGTTAGATACAAGAAGTGAGTGTAGTTGCCGCGGGCCAACCTCGTTGCTTGACTTATTATACTTGGCAAGTTTTTTTCACGTAACTGATGCTTTCTCACTCCTGTTTGTCACAACGGCCGGACGATGAACCGAAGATTTGTTTGCAAAATTCAACCATCTTCACTTTACGGCATTCGAGCATCTCCCAGTTTCCGATGAAACCTATTTAAAAATTGCCTCCGACCAACTTTTCTTTCGAAAGTAAGAGTCGTGTTACAACAAAATACCCGGTTACCTCATTAATGATACCATTACAGATGTAAAAAGGAATAGACTTAACTTACCTTGAGAATCCCAATGACACTCTGACAGCGTGGAGTAGCGGGAACAGGTCGAAAATTTTGACTGTCCTATTCAAGGTATGAAGACGAAGATAGTGTGGCTTTTGTGTGGTCGCAGTCTCCTTCCGTTGTATTAAAGTTGTTTAACCTTGTTTTCGCAACTCGGTCATATTGGTAGGAAGACTTGGAGGAACCCACCTTGTCCGGAGTCCATTGTATGCATCCTCATTTCCAGAGTAGGACCGTGCACGTGGTACATTCCCAGACGTTTCGCCGGTATCGTAGTCGGCATCGCGATTCTTAGCACCATTCAACAACTCGTCGAAGAGACAAGTGAAGCCGATCCTTTGACCAAACTTGTGCTAAACAATTGTGGTATCTCCCCCCCTCTGCCCTGGATTATTCACATTTCCTATATCCTCCTATCACGCTTTCCCTTTTTCAATTTTTACCGTGTCCATTTCGATAAAGTGTGATGTGCTCCTTTGAGCGGCTTTCATGAAAACCATTCACAATCCACACTGGCCTTCTCACCGCCCTTCATTCTTG